TCAGCAGCAGCAGCAGCAGCAACAACAGCAGCAGCAGCAGCAGCAGATGGAGCAGCAGCAGCAGAAGCATCAGATGCAGCAGGAGCTGGGCAGGGCGACCCAGCTTCTTTTTTTTCTTCATCAGCTGCTGCTGCTTCTCCTGCTGCTGCTGCTGCTCCTCCTCCTCCTGCTGCTGCTCCTCCTCCTCCTGCTGCTGCTTCTCCTGCTGCTGCTGCTGCTGCTGCTGCTGCTGCTGCTGCTGAGACTATCCCTCTGTTATGTAGAGAGAAGGGCCCCTCTCTATACAACGGGTGCAGCAGCATGCATGCACCTTCGGGTGTATTTATAAAGGAGAAGATAGGAGTGAGGGTGTGGGGTGTTGCTGCAGTGGATGGTTTGCTGCTGCAGCAAGCTGCTGTGCTGCAGCAGCAGCTGCTGCACTTCGTCAGCAGCACCGAAGCACTAACACCCCGGGAGCTGTGGGCCCTTGACTCTCTTTTTGCTGCTATGCCGGGTGCTGTCGTGCGCTGGCACGTGCTGCTCTCCTGCAACCAGCAGCAGCAGCAGCAGCAGCAGCAGCAGCAGCAGCAGCAGCAGCAGCAGCAGCAGGATGTCAACTGCATGCAGCAAGCCAGGCAGCAGCATTTCGCGCAGCTGCAGCTTTTTTGGAGGGCAGGATATAAGCTGCAGTATGTACAGCATGATAACCTACCAGTTTATCTAAAGGGTTAGTTTTTATTTTATTTATTTTTATTTATTTTTATTTATTTTTATTTGTTTATTTGTTTATTTATTTTTATTTGTTTGTTTTTATTTATTTGTTTGTTTGTTTATTTTTATTTATTTATTTTTATTTATTTGTTTGCAGTATGTACAGCATGATAACCTACCAGTTTATCTAAAGGGTTAGTTTTTTATTTATTTATTTTTATTTTTATTTGTTTGTTTTTATTTATTTTTATTTGTTTGTTTATTTGTTTGTTTTTATTTGTTTGTTTATTTTTATTTATTTGTTTGTTTTTATTTGTTTATTTATTTATTTGTTTGCAGTATGTACAGCATGATAACCTACAAGTTTATCTTAAGGGTTAGTTTTTATTTATTTTTATTTATTTATTTTATTTATTTTTATTTGTTTTTGTTTATTTATTTTTATTTATTTATTTTTATTCATTTATTTTATTTTATTTATTTGTTTATTTTTATTTATTTGTTTGCAGTATGTACAGCATGATAACCTACAAGTTTATCTAAGGGGTTAGTTTTTTATTTTTCTTTATTTTTCTTTATTTTTATTTATTTTTATTTGTTTTTGTTTATTTATTTTTATTTTTTTGTTTGTTTATTTATTTTTATTTATTTGTTTATTTTTATTTGTTTATTTATTTGGTTGTCTGCAGTATGTACAGCATGATAACCTACAAGTTTATCTAAGGGGTTAGTTTTTATTTATTTTTATTTATTTATTTATTTTTATTTATTTATTTTTATTTATTTATTTTTATTTATTTGTTTATTTCTTTGTTTTTTTATTTATTTTGTTTTTTTGTTTTTTTGTTTTTTTGTTTGCCTTTTTCTCTATCTTTCTATCTATCTATTTATATATTATTATTAGTATATAAGCTACAATATAAAAACATATATATATATATATATATATATATATATATATATATATATATATATATAT